TGGGACCCCCCCCCGCCCGGGGTCCCACGTGGGACCCGCAGCGCTGTTTGCAGCGGGACCGCGAGGAAGGGACATCGGGGACGGGGGGAAGGAGATGGAGAAATAGAGAGGGTGGGGGCCCGGAGGTGAGATAGGGAAGATTCCCCCGGGAGAAACTGGAACGGAGCAGGGCAGAGACCGGGGATCCGCCCCGGGACGGTGCAGCACCGGCGGTTTCTCGTGTCTCGGCGTCCGGGGGAGTCGCAGCGAGAAGCCGGGGCGCTGGGAGGGGCCAGGGCGGCTGCTGGCGGGGTCTGCGGGTGTCCAGCGCCGGAGGCAGGATAAGGCCCACCCTCCGCAAACACAGGGCAAGCGGGCGGTCCTTGGTACCCGGATCCCGGTTCCTCCCGCCGCGGGAGGAAACGTCCCGCGGTCCCGGCAGGGGCGGGAGGAAAACGAAACAGGGGCGAGGAAGCGGCGGAGAGCGACAGCCCGGCGCGGCTGGGGTGGAGGGCGGCCCGGCCAGGCAGGGGATGCCCGGCTTGGTTCGGTCTACCCCGGGTGGGGCTTCCACCCGCATTGCCGCAGTGACGGGCGGCAGAGCGCGGCCGGGCCGGCGGGCTCGGCGCGGCGCTGCATTGCAGCACTGCATGAGCCCCCTCCTTCCCCGCTCCCTTCTGCGCCCTCCGCCGCCGCTCAGCTCCGGAGGTTCAGCCCGGGGCACGCACCGGCCCCGCCGCGCTCCGCACCCGCTCGCACGGGGCATCTCCCGCGTCGTGCCACATCCGACCCCCTCCCCCGACACGGGAATGCAGCCGTGGGGGAGGGACGCGCACCCACCGGCAGGGTTCCCTGGTTGGTGTCAACCAGGCGTTCATCAAACCCCGCGCGGGTGGAGGGACCGGCCCGCCCCGTCGGGGCATCCGCCATCCTGCCCGCCCATCCCCGCGCCGCCGGCGCTGTCCCGCGGCTCGTCCCGGCCGCCTCCCTCCGTCCCCTCGCCGCCCTTCCCGCCGGTCTGGTCGTGCTCTCCGCCACGACGGCGCGCCCGGCCTCGCGTGGGCCAAGCACTGCCCGGCGTCGTCCCCACGGGTTTCCCGCGAGGGCCTTTGGGCTGGTCCCGCGAGGAGCCGGGACCGCCACCGGGACCGAGCAAGGCTGAAAGATGCTGTGCCGAACGGCACGGCCCCGTGGTGGACCCTCCCCGACGGGACGTTCCCCCCGGCCCTCGGGGCACTTGCGATGCCCATGGGGAGGGCGGAGGGAGGCGACCAGCCCCGCGTCCCCGGTCCATCGGGAAGGGAGTCTGGCGACCGCGCTTCGGGATCCTCTGCTTGGGGAGAGCGTCCCGGAGATCGGTGCCAGCCCCGCGTGACAGGGTCCTGCGTGGACTCAGACAGTCACGACCCTCGGTGCTGCGTGCGCGGGGCGCGAAGGGGAGCGGGGCAGCCCCGGTGGGAAGGTGCCGGCGGTGGTCACGCATCCCGGGACCGGCCCCGCTGCCAGGTGCGGCGCGGCGGGGGTGGGAGGGAGCGGGGCCACGGGTCGCGAACGCCCCGGCACAACAGGGGCCCGTTCCCAAGGCTCCCGCTCTGTCTCTGCTTTGGGAAAACGCCAGCACGGTAACAAAATGGCGGGGAAAGGGTGGGATTGTCACGGCGAGCCCTGCGGCGCAGCCCGGCCACCCCCGGCCCCGCCCGCCCGGGCTCGGGGCGCCCGTCCCGGCGGAGGGCAGCGGGGCAGGGGTCCCCCGGGCTGTGCCGCCGCCCGGCCCCGCCGCCCGGCTGAGCTCGGGTGGAGAAGCAGCTGCAGAAAATGGCTGCTCGGCGGAGCCCGCTGAATCCTGCCATGGGGGGGGAACGGCGAGGAAGCGGCGCAGCCCTCCCCGCCGGTCCCCCCCGGGGAGCCCCGGGGCAGGCGGCGCGGGGGGCGGCCGGAGGCTCCGCGGGACGGCGGGACCTCGGTGCGTGGCCTCACCTGCGGCGCGGGGGGGGCGCGGGGCAGCCCGCCCCGATCGCCCCGGGCCCCGCAGCGCCAGCCCGGCACGTGCCCGCAGCCCCCGCCCGGTGCCCGCCGAAGGCGGCGGCGGCTCCGAACCCGGGGGGGCGCGGCGGAGGGGCGGCCGATCATCCCCCGCACCCCGCCGCGCAGCAGGAGCCCCAGCCCCGCAGCCGCTCCCGCAGCGCCCGGTTTTGCTTTCGGTTTAAAATAAAATTAAAATAAAATATATAAAAATAACCGGGCCGGGGGGACGCGGCGCCGCGCGGCCGCGACTCGGCCACGCACCGGCTCCGCGGCGGAGCCGCAACGAAAACTCGACCCCACGGCCCCGCACCGTGTCGCCGCCCCCCGCCCGTCACGGCGGCGGACCCCCGGGCGCGAGGCAGGAGCGGACACGCGTGGGTGCGCGGCTGGTGCCTGCGCTGCCGCAGGTTCGCTCTCCGCCGGTGGTTTTCGCGGGTGTCCGCGGAGTGAGGGGATGTCCCGAAAACGGGAGTGTGGGAGGCAGACCGGGGGGGATCTTTTCCCCACAGGAGAGGGGGAAATCCTTCCCCTTCGGCTGGTCCGCACCGTGGCGATTGGACGTGGGAAGGCGCTTTGCCGCGCCGTGGGTGCATCACGGGTGGCGCCCGCGTGCGCGGAAGCCGCTCTCTCCGCCGCGCACGGTGCGAAGGGCGCCGGTGCCTCCCCGGAATACCTCGCCTGGCGCAGCGCCCGCGGCTGCCTCCCTCCGCAAAGCCCCCCAGTCTCTGTGCCCCAGATGGGGGTCACCCGTGTCCCCGCTCCCCCTGCCCACTCGAGGTCCCGCTCGGCGGAGCAGCGGCACCGCCCCGTCCTGCCGGCTTTCCCGGCCCGCGGTCCCGCCGGACCCTCCGCCGCGAGTGGGACAGACACGCTCGGCCTCCTCCGTGACCCGCGTTGCGGAGACAGAGGACCGGCCGTCCCGCCGCGCTTCTGGAGCGCCGCGGGCTCCCGCGTGCCGTCGGTGCCCACGGAACACCAGCGGCGAGATGGGGGGGCCGGGAGCCCCGGGGTGGGAAAAGGGGCAGCGAGGCGACACCGGGGACCCGGGAGCGCGCGCCGGGGCGGTACCATCGGGGTCCCCCGGTGTGACGGGGGGGGGTTCCTCGGTGTGACGGGGGGGTCCCGCTCTGTCCCCGCGGGGGGGTTGCGGGGCCGTTCCGCCCGCCGGGGCCGTTGCTGCGATACCGACGGGCCAATCAGCGCCCACCAGCTCACCCGGGCCCGCGCGCCGCTGCCTTATATGGTGCGCGCCGTCCGCGGGGCGCCGCGCGCATCGCCATATAAGGGCATGAACCTAAATACAGCGCCTACCTTGGGCGGGGCGGGGCCGGGGGCGGGGCCGCGGGGAGGGCGGGGCCGGGCCGCGCCCCCCGCCCCACCGGGCCCGGGCCTGCCGCCGCCGAACCCCCCCCCCCCCGCGGCCGGGGGAACCCACCGCCGGTCATTAGGTGGAATGCAGATGAGCGGCGCTTCACCTCTAATTGCTTTTGTTAAAAGCGGAGCCGCGGGAAGGGCGGTGACGGGAGGGGATGGGTAGGGACGGAGACGGGACTGAGCCGGGCAGGATGTAGGATAGGGGTAGCGGCAGCCCCGGGCGGCTGCGGTTGCACCCCGTCTCCTCTGTCACATCCACGTCAGATTTCCCCGGCAGGGCCGCCGCCATCGGCACCGCCGGGCCGCGCTCCGTCCCACTCCGGCCCCTGCCCACTCGTGACGCTCCCGTGGCCGCTGCAGGGAGCAGGTCCGTCCTTCTACCGTCCTTGCGGGCCGAGCAGCGCGGCCCCGGCGCGGGCAGCAGCCGGTGGGACGGAGCCGCACCGGCTAGACGGGGTGCAGGAATACCCCGGAACGTTCCCGTTTCCTCGCCCCACGCCGCACTCGGGCCGGTTCCTCCCTCTCTCCGTCCGCAAACAGCTCGTGTTTATGTTCCTACAAATAATGAGCAAATTCAGAACCCCCGGGAACAAAAGATCTTTTGTGCAGAGCGCTCGGAGCCTGGAGCGGGTGATAAACGGCGCCCCCGGTCCCGGGAGCGGCGCTTTTCTCGCCCGGGGCGTTCGGGGTGACCCGCGAAGCTGCAGCGGGGCCACCCCGGCGCCGGGGGTGACGAGGGGCTCCCGGTGCGTGTCGGCACGCCTGGAAAACGGAGAACGGGCGCTTTGCCGTCGGGGCGCCCCGTGGACGCTCCCTGCGTGGGGACTCCGCCGGTCAGCCTCGCCGGAGCCGGGGGCTCGGGGCACGGCGGCCCCACGGGCGCAGAGGTCTGCAGGACACGCGTGAGCGGCTCCCACGAGAAAGACCGATGCGGGAGACTTCCCGAGCGTTCGTGGGTCTGTGCTTCGGGAGAGAACGGCGGCTTCTCTCCCCCGTCGGGACTGCAGAGGGGACCCCTCCCCGCTTTGCCGCGGGTCACAGCTCCCGGGGCTCCTGCGGGCGCTCCTGAACCCTCGGTGCGGGGGGTTCCTGCCCTGATGAACCCTCGATGCGGGCGGGCTGCCCGGGGCGGAGGGGGCGGCAGTGCCCCCCGGGGGTAGCGGGAGCGCCGCCGGTTGCGCGGCGGCCGCAGCCGCCATTTCCAGGAGGACGGTGCCACCTATGGAAAGCACCTGGAATTCACCGGGCCGGCGGGAACGCGCCGGGAAGGTCAGCGTTTCCGTGCGGCACCGTCGGGACGAGCCGCTCTCCGGGCTGGCCCGGGGAGTGTCGGAGGGGCTTGGCTGCCCCGGTCGGCGGGGCCGCCGCTGTCCCTCAGTACCGCCTGCCCCGGGGAAGATGCTCGGCTCGGTCCCGGGGCGGCGGCGGGGCCCGATTTGGGACCAGCCGCGGCGCTGGGCTGCACCTCCTCGGAGCGGTCGCTTCGCCGGCTAACCAAGGCCCCGGTAACCGGGGAATAACGACCGGCGGGGCGGAGAGAGGCTGTTCTGCTCGGGTGCTGGGCAGAGTCCCCGGGGCCGGCATCCTCTCGCTCTGCTGGGTCCGACCACACAGAGGTCCCTCTACGGCCCCGCCAGCCCCCTCCGGTGTCCGGGGAAGGGGCAGCGGCCGTGCCAGGGGTCGGCCCACCGGGGCACGCTGCCTCCCGTCTCCACCTCGCCTCCGGAGCCGCCGGGGAAGTCCCGCCCGATCACGAATTCGATGCCAAACACCTTGACATGAAAACTTACTCACACGGAAGTTCCGGGGCTGGTGCAGCCCCGCGCGGACGCCGCTGCACGGGAACCCCCGAGATCTCCCCTCCCCGCACCGGGTACCTCCGCGCTTCCCGGCAGCATCCCCAGCGGCACCTTGGGGTGCTGGTGTCGCAGCTGGGAGCCAGTCTCTGCCTCCCCGATTATCCCCGAGATGCTCGGAAACGAAAAGGCAACATCCCGGGGGCCGGGCTGCGCCCCCAGTCCCGGAAAAGGCCGTGGGCCGGGGGGGGGCCGGCGATGCCGCGGTGCCCTCGGTCCGCGCCCACCCGTAGAGACAGCCTGGTACCGGCCCGGGGGCCGTGAATTTGACCGAGACTCCTCTCGGCTCCATTCATCCACCAGTGGAGGGAATCGTTTTCCCGCACAGCTCAGGGACGGAACCGAACCGGGAAACACCCGGAGCCGAACCGGGCGGCGGGGCTGACCGGGAACCCGAGGCCGGCCGCCCCGAGTGTGCGGGGCGGTATCCACGCATTCAGGGAGCTCGCGTGGAATGGGGCTCCGGGGCGCGCTATACGCTGCCCGTCGGTACCGGGGCTGCAGGATGCCTTTCCCGGATCCCGAGGGCCACTCCGGTCTCGGGGTCGGTTCCGGGACGGGCAGGCCCTGGGACTCTGCCAGCGGGCGACTTGCTCTGCCCCCGTTCCCCCCGGTGGTCCCACTGTGGGGTCCGTGCTCGGCTCGCCCAGGAGAAGGGTTGTCGACACACTGGAGCGCGACCGTGGCATAAACGGATATACGAGGAGCACCGGCATCCTCGGCCACCCGGGGAACCGGGTCGGGAGCTGGGCTGGATCCACCCGCCGCGGGTGGCCGTGGGACGGAGCAGCTTCTGAAGCACGGTCACTGCAGTGCACGGGAGGCGCGGGGGAATGCCCGGCTCCAGTGCGGGAATCGATGGTGCCGGTGTTGGGTTGGAGCCAGGTCCGCCCCGCCGCTCCAGGCTCAGCCGCGCTCGGACACGCGTGCTCGCTCCACCGCCCCACGCGCGACACCGGGAGGGGCTGCTGCACCCCGGTTTCGTTGCAAAACTCGTGGCCGTGGAAAATCCCGCACAGCGAGAAACGAGGGGGGGGGCGGGAACTCCGCGCCGCGGCGGCCCGCTGAGCCCCGAGGAATTCATCTCACGAGTGCGTGTTGGGGGAACGGAGACCCGGCAGCCAAGAGGTGGATTTGGGGTCAAACGGGCAGAAACGGGGTTTGCCGCGCCGGCACACGTCCTCGCCGGGCCGAAGCTGTCCCCGAGTCGGCACCGAGCCCGGGACCCAGAGACCGGGCCACTGTCTGCGTGGGCGGTGGAGACGCGGGGGCGAGCGGCCCCCTCGGCCAAGAGCCCGTGGGGCGCCCAGGCAGCCCCTGCCGCTGACCTCGGGAGCCCGGAGGGCGGCCCGTGCCCCGGCTCTGCTGCTGCTTCCATTGGCCCGGCCTGGCAGGGGGGCCCTCGCAGCGCCGCCGGCCCCGGGCGAGGGGGTCCCCGGACTCCCTCCGGCAGCGGGAGGAATTGCCCGGCGGAGCCGCGAACAGTCCCACCCGCCACTGCCTCGGGCCACGGCGCCGGGACAGCTCCGTCCCGCTTCTCCTTCCGAACCAAGACCCCCACGAGCGGCCGCAGCCCCGGACCCGGCTCACCCACGCGCGGGGGCTCCGGTCGGTTCCCACGCGGCGGCGGCCGCTCCGCGCTGCTTTCCCTGTGCCGTTCTCGTTTACGTCTCGCCTCGTCCCTGCCCCCCCCGCACCGCAGCCGGGGGCGCAGCCCCGGCTCCGCGTGGGTCCCGCGTGGGTTACAGCGGGAGGATGAAGCTATTCCTGCGCTGACGCCCGCACGTGAGGCAGCCGGAACCGCGGCCTCTCGGCTCTGCACACCCACGCGTGGCCGTGGGGCTCCGCGTAGCTCGGCGAAGGCGACGGGGCAGAGGCGGCTGCTCAGTCGGGAGATCCGCGGACCCTCGGGGCTCCCGTGCGGCGTCGGTGCGGGGAGACTCGGCTCGGGTCTGCGGTTCCCACCTGCGCCGGGACACCGGCAGCCACGGTGCTGGACAAACACCAGCTTCTGCGGGTTGCAGCAGCTCCACGGCCACGGGGACGGGCGCTGCTGCGCCGCCGCGGACGCTGCCCCGGGAGCCCCGAGCAGTGGACGAGACGGCGGCGCCGGCACCGGTCGGGCCAGGGGGTCACGATCCGCTTCCGTGCCCCGGCCCCGCGCTCCTCGCTGGGCCTTGCGCCCGGTACCGCCGGGTCTCTCCTCCGAGCGGCAGCTTCCCGGGAGCGGGATCCGGTCCGCCGCATCCATGCCGATTCATGAGTCGCCCCGCGACCAGCCTTAATTAACACAGATTAATTCGACATTAACGAAAAACTTCTCGGGACGCGGCTCGCCGTGGTCCGGGAGGGCGCGGGGGTCGCTCTCCCCCCCGGCCCGGCCAAGCCACGCAAAACCCGCGTAGCGGGGAGGCTCCCGTGGCGCGGGGTTGCAAGCGTGGTGTGGGAGTCCACGAGAGCCGTGGAATGGGAATCTCCTGCCTCCTCCAGTGAGCGCAGTTTCACGTCGGCCGGGGGCAGTGGCAGGAGGGATCTGCCCACCGAGACCGACCCACTACCTCCCGAGTCCCGCGTGGGGCTGTGGGGGTCCAGTTGTCAGTGCTCCCCGCGGGGTCCCGGAGCCCCACTCGTGTCTGCCGGCGGAGGTCCCTGCCCGCCTGGGTGACGCGGCGGCAGGGAGGATGCCCTGGAGAAACAACGTTCCTCGAGGTTCCCGCTGCCGCTCCCGGCGGACCCGTGTCCCTGGGCTCCCCGCCGTAGCCGTGGACTCATTTACCGGCAGGCAGGCGCAGCCGGATCCCCGGGGCCACTCTCGCCGTGAGTTTCCCACGCGTGAGCGCGGCAGCCGCCGAGCCCCTCTGCTCCTTGGCTTCGAGCTCCTTAGGGAAGGGGAAATGGAGGCAGGAAGGAGGGGCAGATCCATGAGAGGTCTTGTCACAAGTGGACGGGACCGTAGGAGCCCAGTCAGCACCCCGCCGTGGTGCTGCGGGTCCCACCCTCGAGGCAGCACCCACCCGCGGCGCTGTCCACGGACACGAAAACCGCTTCACTCAGCGGGAATGAGCTGAAGGGCTGCCCGGCACCCCCGGGCCCTCCCCCGAACGGCGCGGGGGGCGGATTTTGACCCTTCCCGCTTGCGAGCGAAAACTGGCCCCGTGAGACCGCCGGTCCCTCAGAGGCTGCACCCATTTCCCGCGACTCGTCGCCCTGACACGCGTGTCTCGTTCTCCCGTGGCCGCCTCGGGGAGAAGGCGATGGGTCTCGTGCGGGACACAGTGCGGCGGGACGAGAGGCAGAGCCGGTGAGGGGGGCCCACGGGGGCCCGGCACCGTCTCGCAACCTCGCAGTGCCATCCGCGTTCCCACCAGTTTGCTGACAGGTAACGCGGGAGATGGACCAAATTCTTCGTGGGGCCGCTGGCACGCGCGACCGCGTCCGTGAGTGGAAGGCTCCGCGGGCTCCGCCGTTACCGGGCCGGGCCGTTCCTGCGGAGCGCGCCCCCCGCCCCGACACCGCTCCGTTCGTCTGACCACCGCCCGCGGAGCCCCCCCCAGTCCGCCCCGTCCAGGTGCCGCGGAAGCCCCCCGGACGGCCCACATTCCGCCCCGTCCCCCGGGGGGCTGCGATAACCCCCCCCCACCCCATCCCGCTGCCGCGGTCCCCCCTTTGTGCTCCGCGTCCCTTCCCGCACCCCCGGGTCCCCCCCCCCTCCCCGAGCGGGGCGTGTCCCGGGGAGGGCGTGTCCCGGGGTGGGCGTGTCCCTCCCCGCGGTGGCCCCGCCCCGCGGCCATCGGGACGCGCCGCACGTCGGTGGGCGGGGCTCGGCGGGGCCAATGCGGCGCGGGCGGAATATTCCACCCGGCTCCGGCGGCGGCGGGCGCGGGGGGGGCCTCGGTGACGTCAGCGGGCGGAGTATTATGGTCTGGGCTGCGCCGGGGCCGCCCCTGCGCTGCGAGCGGCCGCGTAAACATGGAGCTCTCGGCCGTCGGGGAGCGCGTCTTCGCGGCCGAGGCCCTGCTCAAGCGCCGCATCCGCAAAGTAGGTGCCCCCCCCCCCC